CTGACCCCTGTGGGACCCCGCTCGTAACAGGCGCCCACTGTGATACCTCTTCACGTACCATGACTCGTTGCTGCCTCCCTGTCAGGTATTCCCTTATCCATTGCAGTGCCCTCCCTTTTACGTGCGCCTGATCCTCCAGCTTCTGCACTAATCTCTTGTGGGGAACTGTGTCAAAGGCCTTCCTGCAGTCTAGGAAAAACGCAATCTACCCACCCCTCTCTCTCGTGTCTTACTTCTGTTACCTTGTCATAAAACTCCAAGAGGTTTGTGATACAAGATTTGCCTTCCATGAACCCATGCTGGTTTTCATTTATAATCTTGTTCCTTTCCAGGTGTTCGACCACTCTCCTGATAATCTTCTCCATGACTTTGCACACAATACATGTCAGAGACACAGGTCTGTAGTTTAGTGCCTCGTTTCTGTTTCCTTTCTTAAATATGGGGGCTACATTAGCTGTCTTCCATTTCTCAGGTGTTGCCAGTTTCAAGGGATGTGTTGAAGATTGTGGTTAGAGGCACGCACAGCATCTCTGCTCCTTCTCTAAGGACCCATGGGGAGATGTTGTCCGGTCCCATCGCCTTTGAGGTGTCAAGGTCACTTAAGAGCTTCTTCACCTCCTCCTCAGTTGTTCGTATGTCATCCAACACTTGTTGGTATATTCCCTCTTGATGTTCCCTTCTGTGCTGTCTTCCCACAGCCCTTCCTGTCTCTACTGTAAAAACTTCCTTAAATCTCCTGTTCAGCTCCTCACATACCTCCTGATCATTTCTTGTGAGTTCTCCACCTTCTGTCCTTAATCTGATCACCTGGTCTTTGACTGTTGTCTTCCTCCTGATGTGGCTATACAACAGTTTCGGGTCAGTCTTGATTCTCGATGCTATGTCATTTTCATACTGTCGCTGGGCCTCCCTCCTTACCTGTGCGTACTCATTCCTGGCTCTGCGACTGATCTCCCTATTTTCGTGTGTTCTCTGCCTTTTGTACTTTTTCCATTCTCTATTGCACTTTGTTTTTGCCTCCTTACACCGTCGGGTAAACCAGGGGCTCGTTCTGGTCTTCCCGTTGTTACTGTTGCCCTTGGGAATAAACCTTCCACTGCCTCCTTGCATTTTGTTGTTACATATTCCATCATTTCATTTACTGGCTTTCCTGCCAGTTCTCTGTCCCACTGGACCTCCCGCAGGAAGTTCTTCAACCCTATGTAGTCCCCTCTTTTATAGTCAGGCTTTTCCCATTCAACTCCTGTTATTCTCTCCACTTGCAGCTCTGCTATGTATTCAAAGCACAGAACCACGTGGTCGCTAGCTCCTAGGGGACTCTCATACTTGATGTCCTCGATATCTGAGCTGCCCAGGGTGAACACAAGGTCCAATCTTGCTGGTTCATCCTCCCCTCTCACTCTGGTAGTGTCCTTAACATGTTGGTGCATGAGGTTTTCCAGCACCACGTCCAACATCCTGGCTCTCCATGTTTCGGGACCCCTATGTGGCTCCAGGTTTTCCCAGTCAATCTCCCTGTGGTTGAACTCCCCCATAACCAGCAACTTTGCTCTGCTGGAGTGAGCTCTTCTTCGTGTGTGTGTGTGTGTGTGTGTGTGTGTGTGTGTGTGTGTGTGTGTGTGTGTGTGTGTGTGTGTGTGTGTGTGTGTGTGTGTGTGTGTGTGTGTGTGTGTGTGTGTCTGTGTGTGTGTACGCACTCGCCTAATTGTGGTTGCAGGTGTCGGTACATAGCCCCTGGCCCCGCATCTTCACTGGTCGCTATTAGGTCACACTCCTGCTCCATGAGGGGTATGAGGGTATGAACGGTATGCTAGGTAGTAGGAGTGTTTTATATATATTTATTTATACAAATTTCGTATATCTGCAGAGTACCTCGCTGTACAATATGACAGTTCTATTGTAGATACAAGTTACATATTCTCTGTTTTATTTCATACGTTATGTAGTCAGTCTCTCAGCCTGAGCTGGGCGACTTCAATAGGGCGATTAGAATATCTTCAAAAATTCCACTGTGTTTAATAGGTACTGGAGTTATTGTAAAATGGGATTTACCAGCTCTCGGGAAGTGGTAAGTACCGGTGATTACTGTGCAGGTGGGAAATGATGGGGAAAAGGACGTTCGCGTCATGTAGGTAAGGGATTTTTGTACTTGTTACACTGAAGGATTTGCGGAATTGTTTATCTGAATGAAGTGAGTATAATGTCGTGTGGACAATGAGAGAGATTTTTGTAGGGTGTAAGTGTATTTTATGGTGTGTACGGCGCTTGTCTTGTGGATGAAATACTGTGGTTTTATAGATGAAAGAGCGTGACTGGAGGGGCATTTACTAAAAACTAAAATTTATCTTAGTAAACGCACAAAAAGACAAGTGACAGTACATGCGAGTGACAGCGCACGCAAAAGGGAGCTAGAGAAATATAAAGCACTAGCTAAGCACGATATATTTTTTCTCAAAACAATAATGAACTGCAACACGAGGAGAGGTGGAACCAAAAGTAGGTGGGGAAGGATCACAAAATGAGGAAGAGAGCAGAATGTGGAGGATAGCAGAACAATGAAAGGAGTGGCAGATTAAGAAGAAAGGGACAGAAAAGGAAAGAGCGATAAAGCAGTTCAACTGACTAAGCAGCTAAAAAAAAAAAAAAACTCAACCGCATCCTGATGAAAATGATAGTAAGATGAAAGTAAAAGGACACAAGTGCAACTAATGTGACATTTTATTGTGGCAACGTTTCGCTCTCCAGGAGCTTTGTTAAGCCATTACAAACAATATGTATGTATAATGTTCGCCAAGACAGTAGTCCTGGCACGGGTCTCAATCTTGCGATGACCCGTCTCTGGCTCCCGAGGGAGAAAGGTTTCTACAATGATGCGACATATGCTGTTCAAGCACTCTTCTGGTCAGTTCAACTGGTGCATCTCATAAGCGACAACACCGTATGTACTCCTAACTATGGACACTAGCGAGGAGGAGGATATGTCGTTATCACAGGTAACAGCTTATCTGGTTCGTTGACTCCATGGCACACTAGTGTGGCCGCAGTCATCTGTGGTTCCTCTTCGGGAGGGAATATCACTCCTAGTTGCCTGCGGAGTGTCTCAGTAACTTCGCACTCCAGAAGATAGTGTGTTAGGGGCCACTGGACAACGTGGTGACAGTACTGGCACATCTCCTCAGCCTTGTCTACCATCATCTTGGCTGTGGGAAAGCCCAAACGAAGCCGATGGATGGCGGTACAAACAGTACATGGACACAGAGAATATATATAGCCTCAGAGTGAGGTGCAATACTAGTGGTAGTAGTAGTAGTAGCAGTGATATAAGTTGTAGTAGTAGTAGTAATACAATATGGTAGAACAATTAATTCGCACATGAGTAAAAGGATATAAAAGCTATTACATGGGTAACATAAAAATAGGTTAAACTAAGACACATGTGCAACATCTGGGTATCTTTATTGTAGACGTTTCGCCATCCAGTGGCTTTATCAATACAAATTCCATGACATAACTTGAAGATAGTAGAACTATATACAGAAAATGAGGTAATCAGTCCCTCAACCTTGGAGTTGGTGCGAAGAGCACCGTAGTCGTGTAGATTCTGAAGCAGAAGCAAGGAGCCTGGCGCTTATATAGTAACGTCAGGTGGAAAGGGGACGTGTAGCAGACGAGGGCATAGTCACTGGTAGGTGGGATTCCCCAGTGGAAGTAGGTCCTACCCAAAGAGATGGGTTAGTTGTAGTAGTAGTTGTCGTAGTCGTGAAGGTTGTGTACATGTCCTCAGAATCAGGACTCCATGATGTTGCAGTGTATGACAAGTTGTACAAGAATGGCATGCAAAACCGACAAGATGAAACTAAGACACATGTGCAACATTTGGGTATCTTTATTGTAGACGTCTACGTGGCGAAACGTCTACAATAAAGATACCCAAATGTTGCACACGTGTCTTAGTTTCATCTTGTCGGTATTGCATACCATACTTGTACATAAAAATAGGTTAGACAAATATTTCTATTGGAGACAGGATAGAGAAGGTCTGTTTCAATGTTCATTCTCTGTAATGTGCTTGTGTAGTATTAACAGGAGAGACTATGTGATGGCAGGTTTACTGTTTTCAGGAGGATTCTTGCTAAGACTTCAGAGATGGTGAAGCTGCCTTTGTTTTGTTTAATTGTATTAGAAACAGCGATTAGTGGTACACATAGAGCCAAGGTGTGTCAGTGAAACTTTTTTTGACCAAAAAGAAACCCTCCCACAAGTGTGTCAAGTTGCAGCTGCAATCGCAACATTTCTGCACGTTATTGAACATCCAACACGTCAAGGAATGTAGTATAATCTGAGAGCACAGCTTACGTTTCTTAGCTTTAAATGTTGGCGTATGAATAATTTAAATACTAAGCAAATTTTCAAGATAATTTCACACACTACAGCTGTATTAGTTGAATTATTTCGGGCCACAATGATGTGCGATTTAAGGTTACCTCACTGTAGCCAAAAAAAAAAATCTGTTTTATACCATTCTCTTCTTTATTTACATGCGCATCTTTTCTTAAATAATAATTTACAAAATATGCACTAGGCTATGCTATACTTTGAAATAATTTCACTTTTTTTTAATAAAATGCTTTTGAAAAATGCCAAATATCTTTTCAAGAAATAAGACTATATTTACTTCGAATCCAGGCCTAGTTAAATAATATTAAAGTGACGTCAACTATATATACATAGAAGATGGTCTGCACACCCGTCTGTCCTTATCTTTGCCGTCTGTTCTCTATTGTCACTTGCGGCTCTGGACCTGTGATGCCACATAAGGCAGAGGGTAAGCAGTGACACGTCACTTTTAAGAAAAATATGTGATGAAAGGTGGTTAAGTAATGAATATGTTCTGCCACCTTTTTCAACCGCAGCGCAGAAGACAAAAAAAAAAAAGGCAAGTTTAGAGTAGTTTGACTTGTTGAGATCAGTGAAAGCGTTGCATGTCGATTGGAATGACAATGTCGGTGTTCCAGGAAGGCCAAGGTGCTGGGGAGGGGAGAGGAAGGTCTGGGGTGTTCCAGAAGGGCCAAGGTGCTGGGGAGGGGAGAGGAAGGTCTGGGGTGTTCCAGGAGCGCCAAGGTGCTGGGGAGTGGAGAGGAAAGTCTGGGGTGTTCCAGGAGGGCCAAGGTGCTGGTGAGGGGAGAGGAATGTCTGGGGTGTTCCAGGAGCGCCAAGGTGCTGGGGAGTGGAGAGGAAAGTCTGGGGTGTTCCAGGAGGGCCAAGGTGCTGGTGAGGGAGAGGAAGGTCTGGGGTGTTCCAGGAGGGCCAAGGTGCTGGTGAGGGGAGAGGAAGGTCTGGGGTGTTCCAGGAGGGCCAAGGTGCTGGTGAGGGAAGAGGAAGGTCTGGGGTGTTCCAGGAGGCCAAGGTGCTGGTGAGGGGGAGGAAGGTCTGGGGTGTTCCAGGAGGGCCAAGGTGCTGTGGAGGGGAGAGGAAGGTCTGGGGTGTTCCAGGAGGGCCAAGGTGCTGGGGAGGGGAGGGGAAGGTCTGGGGTGTTCCAGGAGGACCAAGGTGCTGGGGAGGGGAGACGAAGGTCTGGGGTGTTCTAGGAAGGCCAAGGTGCTGGGGAGGGGGAGGAAGGTCTGGGGTGTTCCAGGAGGGCTAAGGTGCTGGGGAGGGGAGAGGAAGGTCTGGGGTGTTCCAGGAGGGCTAAGGTGCTGGGGAGGGGAGAGGAAGGTCTGGGGTGTTCCAGGAGGGCCAAGGTGCTGGGGAGGGGGAGGAAGGTCTGGGGTGTTCCAGCAACACTGCAACACCCAGCAACACAACCACACCCAGCAACACTGCCACACCCAGCAACACTGCCACACCCAGCAACACAGCCACACCCAGCCAGCAACACAGCCACACCCAGCAACACAGCCAAACCCAGCAACACTGCCACACCCAGCAACACTGCCACACCCAGCAACACAGCCACACCCTGCAACACTGCCACACCCAGCAACACAGCCACACCCAGCAAAACTGCCACACCCAGCAACACTGCCACACCCAGCAACACTGCCACACCCAGCAACACAGCCACACCCAGCCAGCAACACAGCCACACCCACCAACACAGCCAAACCCAGCAACACTGCAACACCCAGCAACACTGCAACACCCAGCAACACTGCAACACCCAGCAACACTGCAACACCCAGCAACACTGCAACACCCAGCAACACTGCAACATGTCAAGCAATCATTTATCACAAAACACAAGATAATCAACGTTATTAGCAACAGTTATTAAAAAGACGAGATTCTGGCATTTGTTTTATTTATGATTGTCATTACATTCACTGGGAAGAGCTAAACCCGCGGGGGGGTTTTAAGTAAACCGACGTTGTAAACACCTGAGATCATGGCCCCCCGTCCCTCCCCCTCCCCTATTTTCCCCCCCAACCCCCCCCGTCCCCCCCCAATCCCCCAATTTACCCTCACCATCCCCGTCCCTCCCCCTACCCCCCCCCCCCCTCCCCCATCCCCGTCCCTCCCACTACCCCCCCCTACCCCCCTCCTCCAAACCCCACAACCCCTCCCCCCACCCCCGTCCCTCCCCCCCCCATACCCCTCCACCACCCCCGTCCCCCCCCCTCCCCCACTACCCCCCAAACCCCCGCCCCTTCCCCCCCTAACCCCCCCCACCCCCCCCCCCCCCCCATCCCCCCACCCCCCCGTCCCTCCCCCTCCCCCATACCCCTCCACCACCCCCCCGCCCCTCCCCCTACCCATCCCCCTCCACCTCCCCCGTCCCTCCCCCTCCCCCCTCCCCCTCCACCATCCCCTTTCCCCCCCCCTACCCCACCCCCTCCCCCCCCCCGCCCCTCCCCCCCCCACTCCCCCTCCCCATCCCCCGTCCCCCCCCCACCCCACCCCCTACCACCTCCCCCTCCCCCCCCCCTCCCCCATACCCCTCCCCAAACCCCGCCCCTTTCCCCCACCTACTACCCCCCCACCATCCCCGTCCCTCCCCCTCCCCCCACAACCCCCTTTACCCCACCCCTCCACCATCCCCCCCCCCACCCCATACCCCCAAAAACCCCCGTCCCCCCCCCCCCACCCCCCCACCCCCGCCCCCCCCCGACCCCCTCCCCATCCCCCCCTCCCCCCCAACCCCCCCCTCCCCCCCCCCCCTCCCCCCACTACCCCTCCCCCCCCCCCTTTTCCCCCCCTACCCCACTACCCCTCACCATCCCCCGCCCCTCCCCCCCCTACCCCACTTCCCCCCCCCCCACCCCCCCCCTCCCCCGTCCCTCCCCCCCACCCCCCCATCCCCCTTCCTCCCCACCCCCCCCCTTCCCCCCCCCCCTACCCCTCCACCATCCCCCGTTCCCCCCCCCTACCCCCCTCCCCCTTACCCCACACCCCTCCCCCCCCGCCCCCTCCCCACCCCACTACCCCCAACCCCCCCCCACCCCATCCCCCCCCCCCCTCCCCCCTACCCCCCTCCCCAAACCCCCACCCCCCCCCACCCCCAACCCCCAACCCCCTTTCCCCCCCCCTTCCTCCCCTCCCCCCCTCCCCCCCCTACCCCTCCACCACCCCGTCCCTTTTATCCCCCACCCCCTCCCCCCAACCACCTCCCCTCCCCTTCCCCTTCCCCCGTCCTTCCCCTCCCCTATACCCCCCCCCTTTCCCCCCCCTCCCCAATTTTCCCCCCCCCGTTCCCCCCCCACCCCACATCCCCAAATCCCCCTCCCCCCTACCCCACTACCCCCCACCACCCCCGCCCCCCCCAACCCCCACACCCCCACCCCCCGTCCCCCCCACCCACCCCCCAATATCCCCCCTAACCCCCCCCCCCCACCCCTCCCCCCCCCCAAAACCCCCTCCCCCCCCCCCTCCCCCACTACCCTCCACCCCCCCCTCCCTCCCCCCTACCCCAAAACCCCCTTCCCATCCCCCGTCCCCCCCCCCCCAATACCCCTCCACCACCCCCCTTTTCCCCCTCCCCACCCCCCACCCCCCCCTCCCCCCCAACCCCCCCCCCCCTTTCCCCCCCTCCCCCCCCCACTACCCTCCACCATCCCCGTCTTCCCCTACCCCCATCCCCCTCCCCACCCCCACCCCCCCCCTACCCCCCCCCCTCCACCAACCCCTGTCCCCCCCCAACCCCCCACTCCCCCCCACCCCTCCCCCCCCCCTCCCTCCCCACCCCCTCCCCCCCACCCCAACCCCCCCCCCCGCCCTCCCCTACCCACACCCTCCACCACCCCCCGTCCCTCCCCCCCCCCATACCCCTCCACCTCCCCGTCCCCTCCCCCTACCCCCTCCCCCCTCCCCACCCCCGTCCCCCCCTCCCCACTCCCCCTCCCCCATCCCCCTCCCCCCCCCTACCCCCCAACCCCCCCCCCCCATCCCCTCCCTTACCCCCCCCTACCCCCTCCCCCCCGCCCTTCCCCCCCCAAAACACCCCCCGTCCCCCCCCCCTACCCCACTCCCCCTCCACCACCCCCCGCCCCTTCCCCCAAACCCCCTACCCTACCACCGTCCCGCGTCCCCCCCCCCCTACCCCCCATACCCCCCCCCCACCCCAACCCCCCCGTCCCTCCCCTACCCTTTTCCCCACCCCCTCCCCCCCTCCCTCCCCCCCTTACCCCCCCTTTTAACCCCCTACCCCCCTCCACCCAACCCCCCCCCCTCCCCCCCTACCCCCCCCTACCCCCCTTCCCACCCCTCCCCCCCCCCCTCCCCCCCCCCTACCCCCAAAACCCCCCTCCCCACCCCCCCCACCAAACCCCCCTCCCTCCCTTCCCCCCAAAAAACCCCCCCTTCCCCTCCACATCCCCCGTCCCCCCCAAAACCCACTACCCCCCACCATCCCCCCCCTCCCCTCCCCCCCCCCCCAACCGCCCCCCCCCCATCCCCCCCCCCCATCCCCCCCCCCTCCCCCCCCCCCAAACCCCCCCTCCACCCCCCCCGGCTCCCCCTACCCCCACTACCCCCCAAAACCCCTCCCCCCTCCCTTCCCCCCCCGTCCTCCCCCTACCCCCCCTCCCCCCCCCCCACCCCGTCCCTCCCTCCCCCTACCCCCCACCACCCCCTCCCCCCCCATCAATCCCCCCCCCTCCCCCCTACCCACTACCCTAACCCCTTTCCCCCCCCCAACCCCCCCTCCCCTCCCCCTCCCCCCACCCCACACCCCTCCACACCCCCGCCCCTTCCCCCTCCCCACTCCCCTCCCCTCCCCCCCCCCCCTCCCCTCCCCAAACCCCCCCTTTACCCAAACCCCCCCCCCCCGTCCCCCCCTACCCATTTCCCCTCCACCACCCCCCGTCCCCCCCCCTCCACTCCCCTCCCCCTTCCCCCCCCCCCCCCCTACCCCCACAACCCCTTTCCCCCCCCCCCCTCCCCTCCCCCTCCCCCCTCCCCCTACCCAAACCCCTTCCCCTCCCCCTCCCCCCCCCCCCCAACCCCAAACCCCCTCCCCCCCCCATCCCTAAACCCCCCCCGTCCCCTCCCCCACCCCACACCCTCCCCACCCCCCGTCCCCCCCCCCCCCCCACTCCCCCTCCACATCCCCCGTCCCCCCCTCCCAACCCCTCCCCCCCCCCCCTCCCCTCCCCTTAACCCCCCCTCCCCTCACCCCCCATCCCCGTCCCCCCTCCCCCTACCCCCCCCCCTCCCCCCCATCCCCCCGTCCCTCCCCCCCACCCCACTACCCCTCCACCCCCCCCGTCCCTCCCCCCCCCACTACCCTCCCCCACCCCGTCCCCCCCTCCCCCCCACCCCCCCCTAACCCCCCCTCCCCCCCCAACCCCCCCTCCCTCCCCCCCCCCCCCACTACCCCCCACCACCCCCGTCCCCCTCCCCCAACCCCCCCTTCCCCCCCCCCACCCCACCACCCCGTCCCCCCCCCTTACCCCCTACCCCTCCACCACCCCCGCCCCCCCCCTCCCCCACTACCCCTCCACCACCCCGTCCCTTCCCCTCCCCCACTCCCCCTCACCCCCCCCCGTCCCCCCCCCCTACCCCTCCCCCTCCCCAACCCCCGTCCCCCCCTACCCATACCCCCCAACCCCCTCCGCCCTCCCCACCCCCCCCCCAACCCCTCCCACCCCCTCCCCCCCCCTTCCCCCCCACCCCACTCCCCCCCCAAACCCCCTCCCCCCCCCCTCCCCCACACCCCCTCCTTCCCCCCTCCCACCCCCCTACCCCCCTCCCCCCCCCCCCAATCCCCGTCCCCCCCCCTACCCCACACCCCTCCACCATCCCCGTCCCCCTCCCCACCCCCCCACCCCCCCCCTCCCCCCCCCCCCCTCCCCCCCACCCCCCCCCCCTCCCTCCACATCCCCCGTCCCTCCCCTACCCCACTCCCCCCCCCCAAAACCGTCCCCCCCCCCCCCCTCCCCCCTACCTCCCCCCCCTCCCCCACCCCCCACCACCCCCGCCCCTTCCCCCCCCCCACTACCCCCTCCACATCCCCCGCCCCTCCCCCTCCCCCACTACCCTCCCCTCCCCGTCCCTCCCCCTACCCCACTCCCCCTCCCCCACCCCCCGCCCCCCCTCCCCCCTTTCCCCCCCCCCCCCCTACCCCCCCTTCCACCATCCCCCGTCCCTCCCCCCCCCTCCCCTCAACCCCCCTCCCCCCCCCCCCCACCCCCTCCCCCCCCCTCCCCCCCCTACCCCCCCCCACCATCCCCCCCCCCCCTCCCCCCTAACCCCCCCCCCTCCCCACCCCCCCCCCTCCCCCCCTTTACCCATACCCCCACCACCCCCGTCCCTCCCCTACCCACTACTCCTCCACCATCCCCCGTCCCTTCCCAAACCCCACTACCCCTCCACCACCCCCCGTCCCTCCCCCTACCCCACTACCCCTCAACCCAAACCCCTGTCCCCCCCTACCCCACTACCCTTCCACCAACCCCGTCCCTCCCCTACCCACTACCCCTCCACCAACGCCCGCCCCCTTCCCTACCCCACTACCCCTCCACCATCCCCCGTCCCTCCCCTACCCCACAAACCCCTCCACCATCCCCCGTCCCTCCCCCTACTCCACTACCCCTCCACCATCCCCCGTCCCTCCCCCTACCCCACTACCCCTCCATCATCCCCGTCCCCCCCCCTTACCCCACTACCTCTCCATAAAACCCCGTCCCTCCCCCTACCCCACTACCCCTCCATCATCCCTCGTCCCTCCCCCTACCCCAACCCTCCATCAACCCCCGTCCCTCCCCCTACCCCACTACCCCTCCACCATCCCCCGTCCCTCCCCCTACCCCACTACCCTACCACCGCCCCCCGTCCCTCCCACTACCCCACTCCCCCTCCGCCATCCCCGTCCCTCCCCCTCCCCCAAACTACCCCTCCACCATCCCCCGTCCCTCCCCCTACCCCATACCCTTCCACCACCCCCCGTCCCCCCCCTACCCCACTTCCCCTCCACCCCGCCCCTTCCCCCTACCCCACTACCCCCCACCATCCCCCGTCCCTCCCCCTACCCCACTACCCCTCCACCACCCCCGGGCCCCTCCCCCTACCCACTACCCCTCCACCAACCCCCGTCCTCCCCCTACCCACTACCCCCCCACCATCCCCCGTCCCTAAACCCTACCCACTACCCCTCCACCAACCCCGTCCCTTCCCCTACCCCACTACCCCTCCACATCCCCCGCCCCTCCCCTACCCCACTACCCCCCCCAAATCCCCCGCCCCTCCCTACCCCACTACCCCTCCACCATCCCCCGTCCCTCCCCCTACCCCACTACCCCTCCACCATCCTCCGTCCCCCCCCTACCCCACTACCCCTCCACCATCCCCGTCCCTCCCCTACCCCACAAACCCTCCACCATCCCCCGTCCCTCCCCTACCCCACTACCCCTCCACCATCCCCCGCCCCTCCCCTACCCCCATACCCCTCCACCATCCCCCGTACCTCCCCCTACCCCACTACCCGTCCATCAACTCCCGTCCCTCCCCCTACCCCACTACCCCTCCATCAACCCCGTCCCTCCCCCTACCCCACTCCCCCTCCATGAACCCCGTCCCTCCCCCTACCCCAAAAACCTCTCCATAAACCCCTGTCCCTTCCCCAAACCCACTACCCCTCCATCAACCCCCGTTCCTACCCCTATCCCAACTACCCCTCCAACCCCCGTTCCCTCCCCCTACCCCACTACCCCTCCATCAAGCCCCGCCCCTCCCCTACCCCACTACCCCGCCATCAACCCCTGTTCCTACCCCTACCCCCACTAACCTCCATAAACCCCCCGTCCCTACCCTACTACTAGTCTATCTACCCCCGTCCCCTACCCCACTACCCCTCCATCTACCCCTCCATCACCCACACCTCTCCATCTACCCCCTTCCCCTTCATCTACCTCCCCTCTCTCTCATTACACCTGCATCTACCCCCTCCAACTCTCATAACCCCTCCGTCTACCCCCTCCCCCTCCCACTACTCCCAAAAAAGTACGTTTCCAAGGGTCACCCAGTAAAGGGGACCCTCCTTGACAGCTCACCCAGTAAAGGGAACCCTCCTTGACAGCTCACCCAGTAAAGTGGCCCCTTCTTGAGAGCTCACCCAGTAAAGGGGACCCTCCTTGACAGCTCACCCAGTAAAGGGGGCCATCCTTGACAGCTCACCCAGTAAAGGGGGCCATCCTTGACAGCTCACCCAGTAAAGGGGACCCTCCTTGACAGCTCACCCAGTAAAGGGGACCCTCCTTGACAGCTCACCCAGTAAAGGGAACCCTCCTTGACAGCTCACCCAGTAAAGTGGCCCCTTCTTGAGAGCTCACCCAGTAAAGGGGACCCTCCTTGACAGCTCACCCAGTAAAGGGGGCCATCCTTGACAGCTCACGCAGTAAAGGGGGCCATCCTTGACAGCTCACGCAGTAAAGGGGGCCATCCTTGACATCTTACCCGGTAAAGGGGGCTCTCCTTTACAGCTCAAACAGTAAAGGGGGCCATCCTTCACAACTCACCCAGTAAAGGGGGCCATCCTTGACTGCTCACTCAGTAAAGGGGACCCTCCTTGACAGCTCACCCAGTAAAGGGGACCCTCCTTGACAGCTCACCCAGTAAAGGGGACCCTCATTGACAGCTCACCCAGTAAAGAGGACCCTCATTGACAGCTCACCCAGTAAAGGAGGCCATCCTTGACAGCTCACCCAGTAAAGGGGGCCATCCTTGACAGCTTACCCGGTAAAGGGGGTCCTCCTTGACAGCTCACCCAGTAAAGGGGGCCATCCTTGACAGCTCACCCGGTAAATGGGGCCATCCTTGACAGCTCACCTGTTAAAGGGGGCCCTCCTTGACAGTTCACTCGGTAAAGAGGGCCATCCTTGACAGCTCACCCGGTAAAGGGGGCCCTCCTTGACAGCTCACTCGGTAAAGGGGGCCCTCCTTGACAGTTCACCCAGCAAAGGGGCCATCCTTGACAGCTCACCCGGTAAAGGGGGCCCTCCTTGACAGCTCACTCGTTAAAGGGGGTCATCCTTGACAGCTCACTCGATAAAGGGGCCCTCCTTGACAGCTCTCCCAGTAAAGGGGGCCTTGACAGCTCACACAATAAAATGGGCCCTCCTAGATAGCTCACAGAGTAAAGAGGGTCCTCCTTGACAGTTCACCCAGTAAAGGGGCCCTCCTTGACAGCTTACCCAGTAAAGAGGGTCTTGACAGCTCACGCAATAAAATGGGCCCTTCTTGACAGCTCACGCAATAAAAAGGGCCCTCCTAGATAGCTCACAGAGTAAAGAGGGTCCTCCTTGACAGCTCACCCAGTAAAGGGGGATACTCCTTGAGAGCTCACTCGGTAAAGGGGGCCCTCCTTGACAACTCACCCGGTAAAGGGGACCCTTCTTGACAGCTCACCCGGTAAAGGGGGCCCTCCTTGACAACTCACCCGGTAAAGGGGACCCTCCTTGACAGCTCACTTGGTAAAGGGGATTCTCCTTGACAGCTCACCCGGTAAAGGGGCCCTCCTTGACAGCACACCCAGGGAAAGGTATCCCCGAACTCACCCACCCCAGTGAAAGGATCCACACCCAGATCCACAGATAGGCCTGGTCGCGGATTGGGCCGCAGGGGTCGTTGCCCCCACAAACGACCCCCAGGTTCGCTGAAACTTCATGTCAGATCCGTAGATGCAAAAGGGCTTGCTCAGCCTAATATCAGATCTTCTAAGATTGCCCTGCTGCGCCCTTCAGTATGTGATGGCAACACAAGCCGCTTGGAAAAAAAAAATAGTTCTCGGCTGGTAGAAGACTGTGACAATGTAAGACATTCTTTACTTTTTTTAATATAATGAGCTGAACCCGTGAATCTAACTCAGCTCAAGAAGTGGTAGAGGTCAGAGACTCAGTGAACTGAGACAGCGTCATCAAGGTGGCTAAGTTGTGTTGCGTAGTGGCCAGTGTTGTGTTGCATATTGACAAGTGTTGTGTTGCGTAATGACGAGTGTTGTGTAGTTATATCTACTAACACACCTGTGGCTTTATCAGACCAATACAAGGACAAAACAATGAATGTATAAGAGGAGGTAATCAGTTCCATACCCCAGACGACTGTACAGGATGAGGTAGTCAGTCCCTCAGTCTACGAGTAAGTGTTCGATACCGTTGTGACAGTTACTGGTTGGTGATATATCTACAAAACAGATACCCAAGTGTTGCATGCGTGTGTAATCTATCAACATGTGGCGTTACAGACTGCAGTAGTCTCTCACAGAGTATAGGGATAAGGTACGTACTGTTTACCCATGACGTACCATGACTGCAGTAGCTGTTTTACCCATGACGGACCAGACTGCAGTAGCAGTTTACCATGATGTACATGACTGAGTAGCTGTTTACCCCATGACGTACCATGACTGCAGTAGCTGTTTACCCCATGACGGACCATGACTGCAGTAGCAGTTTACCCCATGATGTACCATGACTGCAGTAGCTGTTTACCCCATGACGGACCATGACTGCAGTAGCAGTTTACCCCATGATGTACCATGACTGCAGTAGCTATTTACCCCATGACGTACCATGACTGCAGTAGCAGTTTACCCCATGACGTACCATGACTGCAGTAGCTATTTACCCCATGACGGACCATGACTGCAGTAGCAGTTTACCCCATGACGTACCATGACTGCAGTAGCTGTTTACCCCATGACGGACCATGACTGCAGTAGCAGTTTACCCCTTGATGTACCATGACTGCAGTAGCTGTTTACCCCATGACGGACCATGACTGCAGCAGTTGTTTACCCCATGACGGACCATGACTGCAGTAGCTGTTTACCCCATGACGGACCATGACTGCAGTAACTGTTTACCCCATGACGGACCATGACTGCAGTAGCTGTTTACCCCATGACGGACCATGACTGCAGTAGCAGTTTACCCCATGACGTACCATGACTGCAGTAGCTGTTTACCCCATGACGTACTATGACTGCAGTAGCTGTTTACCCCATGACGGACCATGACTGCAGTAGCAGTTTACCCCATGACAGACCATGACTGCAGTAGCTGCTTACCCCATGACGGACCATGACTGCAGTAACTGTTTACCCCATGACGTACCATGACTGCAGTAGCGTTTACCCCAAGACGGACCAGACTGCAGTAGCTGCTTTACCCCATGACGGACCATGACTGCAGTAACTGTTTACCCCATGACGTACCATGACTGCAGTAGCTGTTTACCCCAAGACGGACCACGACTGCAGTAGCTGTTTACCC